TTATTATCTAGAGACTTAAGAGGTAAAATGTAGCTCTAGACGAGCCAGGCGTGTGGTGACGTCACGAGTATGCTTGTGTTCCAGTTGACCCATATTTATGGTGCGTGCTCCCGTTTTCCCCAAGTCCTGTGTTGTTCTCAAGAACATAGTTGGCAAGAACACAAGTCTCTACTTGCATTCTTGTGAATTGAGAAACTGCCTCCATGTTTTTCCAACCGCCATTAAGGTACACAAGAAGAAGAAATGCTTCTAAAGACACAATAGTAACTCTGAGGTCCACCACCGTTGGTGCTAGTGGGATAGTGAATGTATGTTAAGGGGGAGGGGAGAGCCATGTTGGCTCGTATGCACAAACCAAGAAGCTGAAATGATACCACAAACAAAGATTTGACTGGACAGGTCAAAAGTTCAGTTCCCCCTTATAAATCTTCTCCCAGGGTTCAGCTACTAAATATCCTGCCCCCTTTTCCTAGTGTGACAAGCTTTGCCTGGGTGAATCTTTACCATTAAGGTTCAAGGAAAAGGTTCTTGGAGTAGAAACGCAGCAGTAGAGTGCGTTAACAGCCCTCCTGCAATGAAATCTGGTCTTCCATTACAACCTCATTTTCGCAGTTATCTCTGTATCTTGGTAAACTAATCTGACCCATGTTTCCTGCAACGGCCTGATTATTTTAAAAGGTTTCTGCACCTCAAGATGCAACGAGCTACAAACTTGACATATTCCCAGTTGATTGACAACCAGGACACCAAGTATTAGATCAGTTTGAGAATAAGCACACTGACTGACTGTGTTCTGGGTCTGTTGGCCTCCTCCCCTAAAGACGTTTCCTTTGTAGGCCAATTTGGCCAGAATGAAGTCGAACAGGTCCGTCCGTCTCCTGATTAACTGCAGCTTTCCTCTAAAGATCCTGCCAGTCTCACAGCTCAGCTGTCACTGCTACAGAGAGAACACTTCCCCTTGTGTGCTTTATTTTAACTGTATTTATCTACAGTCACAGAAGGAATACGGCCACAGCAACTCTAAACTTCTCCCTTAAGGTTTTTTTCCAGCCAAATGAAAAAAAAAAGTTTCAGCAGACCAACTGTTGGTCGCCCTGAATAAACCCAGGGTTTCATCAGCCAGCCATCAGGAAGTCACTTTTTTCCCTCCTCCTTCACCAAGGTCATCTACTGACAAGAACGCCACTAAAACTTTAACTGTGAACCCACAAAGGAAGAAAACTGAGCTCTGTAAATGAGATGCGACTAGATAAAATGAGCCATTAAACTTTTGTTCAGTGAACCTTGCTTTGAAGGCTTAGCAGAGGACGCCGCAGAGTATTTCAAAATCTCTGTTCATTTACCGTATAAGAAAACCTAAACTTTGTTCAGAAAAATGCAGGTATGATTTAAGCATATCCAAGTATATATTTCTAATATACACATCTGTCTACTTTAAAAATATGGTCATCGGTATTTGGCTGTGCTGAGATGTTCAGGAATCTCAGGTTGCTTTAATTGGATCAATTGTTGGATTTAGAGTCTCATCTTCCCCCTGAAAGCAACATTTCAATTCACTATGAGGTTTAGATCAGCAGAGCTTACCAGCCAATCAGGCACAGTGATGCTGTGGACATTAGAGCAGGTGCAGTGGGGGCAGGTGTCAAGCCCTGCTAGAAAATTAAATCAAGTCTCTATCAAACCTTATGATCTAAAAAAAAAATCTAACATTTTCTCCTCTAAACTATCCAACATTAAATACAGATGCCACACTTATCTAACAGGTAAATGGGCTTCTATTGCACATACTAGTCAGCAGTCTGCCTTTGTGTGGATCAGAGGTGAACAGGTGGTAGATAATAAGATTGATGGTAAAAATGGAAAACTAACTGAAGACCAAGATTCACCTTGAAGTAAACATTCATAACTAAAGAAAATCTTTTTCCTTCCTCTTTTCCCATCTGAAGTTTCATCACCGCTCTGATGTCGACACACTAAACTGCACGTGTTTGAATGGTGGAAATGACTTAATTCCAACATTTGATAGTTCTGATGTTATATGTTCTGCTTCAGAAATGAGACAGAGCAACAGAGCAGCACCCAGAAATGCTTCCCATTAAATGCCTATTTCCAGCAGCTATCGACATGGCGGGGAAAATCAACCAGCGTTTGAAGTGCCATCGCCTGCGTTTGTTCCCATCGCCTTCATATCACTCCATCCTTTGCTCCACCAACCTTCCCCTTTTTCCTCTCTCATCTTCATAGCCTCCAGGGATGCTTGGCCTCTCCTTTCTACCTCTGCCCTCTCCAGACAGCACTCATGCGTTTGCTTCCTCTGCTCACACTTTCATCCTGGTCGGACCCACGCTTGCTTAGGGCACTTTCGCTGCCTGTTGTCATACCAGCCGACTCCCTTCATTTCTCCTCATCACATCTCTGCTCCCCATCAACGATAGAAGCAAGGCTGATGCTTTATAGTGTCACAACACCCTTATAAGCAGTAAAACCTTATTTTAAAAAAGTATCTCAGTGCTTGCATGCAACTTTTATGCAGGAGTGGGCTATAATCATTTATGGATTGAACGATAAGGCCTTCAACCCTATGCTTGGTTTAAACATTTATATTTTGCTTCCACTGCACAGCAGTGTGTATGTTGGTGAAAGTTAAAGTCTGCAGCATCTGAACTTATCGCTTCAGGTCTTTTAATTATTCAAACAACTACTTGTTTCCCTTTTTGGAAGCAATTAAGGGTTAATTATGCATGCATTTCTCAAAGGGACTGCCCAAAACTGCATGGTTATCCCCATTTGTATAATTAATTGCTTGCATTTAGCCCCAGCTAAAGTCAAGATCAGAATTGATACCTCTGAATTGAATGGACTGAATCCAGTTGGAGACAAAAACAAACCATTTACTTTAATAATCAGGACAATCACAGGAGGATCCACCCTGTTAGGTTAGATAGATTAAAATAGGGGTGGCAAGCTGAACACATGGATGATTTACAAGACACCGGGAAAATGATACGGTGGGATAACAAATCAAGTGTTTTAGAGAGTGTCAGGATTCCTCATGGGGAAAGTGTTTTCTAGCTTTCTATTCTTTTACCTTCAGAGTGCAGAGTCAACAACAGAAGATGATTGTTGATATTCAACCGTTCAATATAGAAAAAGAGTTACTTAAAACAATCACAACAGCTCTGAATCAAAGGCCATAAAACATCTTAATCTTGCAAGCCACTGCTGCATTATTTATGAGTAAATAAAAAGCAATGCAAACCAGGGAGGCAGAGATCAGATAAAACAGACAACCTAAAGTATTGATCATTAGAAAACATGAACAGCTACAACATCATGGATCAAAAGAAGGACTAGACTAACATTTATGCAAAGTTTGTAAGAAATCCAACAGAATTTAGAGCCAAATATTCTGGGACAAATGAGCAGTTAGAGATCAAGACCAGTAGTGCATCTTTCAGCGCCCCTGGTGGCAGACTAAGTTAATTAGAGTAACAAATAATTACCATTTGGAAATTAAATGTGGTACAAAGTGATCAGAAATCTTGATTTAAAATTGTGAATGTTTTCAGTAGGATTAGGAATCAGGAATTGGCACAAAAGCAGCTTCGTCAACTAAATCCAACTCTTACAGCACCACAGAAATGAACACCTTTAATGCCTAATAGTGAATATTTTTACGGTATAATGACACAGGTTGAGATACTTCTTCACAATGACAGCAATGAGGCTTCAAAACCTTGGAACACCTCATCACATTTTTTTTTTGTGTGCGCAAACATTCCTGGAGCAATGAACACAAAGGAATAATGAAGATGGGGAATACCTCCAAATTCCTCAACTTTAAAATCACGGCCATTGAAATTTGGACACAATTCAACAGGACAATAAAGCAACACACTTCATAACCGATTCTGGAAAGAATAAAGCAGCCCAACATTAAGCTTCTGGAACAGCGTCAACCCTGAAGAAGATGTGAGACATATCCTTAAAAGCACCATCTGTGTGAGGGAACCAACCAATTAAAATAAATTCCAACCAATGCGTCCATGAAGAGCGGTCAGATACCCAGCCTGAGAGTTGCCAGAAGATTGTGGATTGGCTGCAAAAACGGCTGCTGATAAGCTGCTACCTGCTAATCGACATGTCTAAATATCAGAATGTTTATATTTGAGCCTGCTGTATTATTATGACCCATTTTGGCTCATAGAAAATAAACCCTTAACATCCAAAGCGTTTCAAATTGTTCGGTGATTTTTTTCTTTTATTTTTTTAATAAATCAGAGCCACTGAAGCTGTGCTGTGCTTCTGTTATTTTTGTATATCAAAAATAATATTCGGACCAGAACTCTGCAATATGAGTAAAATATGTCAATGTAAACTGAATTCTTTACATATCTTTCTAAGGCTTTTGATTAAAAGCCTAATCGCTTATATGAGAATGTTAAATTAAACGTGAACCTTGTAATTGATGTAAATTCAACACCCGATAAGACACCTTTGCATCCATGTCATTTGTTCTTTCTTCCGCCCACAGCAGCATGAAGCAAAAGGAACTCTGGACATTTAGCACTAATTTGACTCTTATCCACTAATATGATGTAATTAGCTTTGCAGTCACCTTAAACTAGCTTCATTTTTCCTTTGCATGCAATTCTTTGCATCACCTAATTTCTAATACATGATGGCACTCTTTTCTTAGCACCCCCCAACCCCACCCTACTCGTCTCCTTGTCCCAGCATCCCTACCCCTCCTCATCTTTAGGCCTAACTCTCCTTTTAGCCTGGAGCTGCGACGGATGTTTTCTACTTTCCAACCTGGGAGTAACGCTCTTATCCATATGATGATGAAGTTGATAAACAATATAAAGGGTGGGAAAAAAGGTCAGAGACATCGATGAATTTATAAAGCGCAAGTGTAGAATGAAGGGTGAGGGAGAGAGAGCGGGGAAATTTCTGATTCGCCTCTCTCCCCGTGTCCCTGTTATTCCCTCTCTCTAGTCTTCGTCCCCTCCTTCATTCAGTACCTGTTCTGTGGGATTAACATGACTTAAAATTCAATCAGCCCACAGCCTGACGGAAGAGTGTCAGCGCAGGCAGACTGAGCGCTGCTGCAGGTGTCGAGACCGACTGAGGGGAGAGAGCAGAGGAGTGGAGGAGGGGGGCTGGGATAGACAGAGAGATAGAGAGAGGAAAAAAGAGAGGGGGGAGATGGGTGTTTTTCTGCGGAGCCGAGATAGAGCAAGAGCCGCGGAGACAGAGATGTGACTGCTCCAGGAGTCGCGGTGGAATGATCCGGAAAACAAGGTTAGTAATTCCACCTTTTCATCACAGGGTAGAGCATATCGGATAGGGATAGAGAGATGAGTTTTATGCTTTAATAGCTAGATTGGAATTGTCAAAAAGGAAAGTAAGCAGGGAGGAAACAAACGCATCACAATTCTCAGTTTGGAGCAGAGAAACCACACGGGTGTTACAGCTTGCCTAGATGGGATATTTTTAACAGAGTTGGCTTGTGGAGATTGATTGACAGGCAAAAAGGGAGTGGGAGTGGAGTGGAGGGGGGGGACTTTTGAACTGTCTGACATTCATGAAGCTGATCAATAGCTCAGTTGTTTCATTAAGCTCTGTGAGCTGCATGTGTGTGCCGAGAGGGAGGAAGAGGCTGTGTGTGTGTGTGTGTGTGTGTGTGTGTGTGTGTGTGTGTGTGTGTGTGTGTGTGTGTGTGTGTGTGTGCGGAGTATCACTGCATGCCTACTTACTGAATGTGGTGGCATCGACTGTGGAGGTGTGTGAAAGTGTTGCACGACCGCGCGTCAGTGTGCACGCGTGCATTTGTGCAGAAATAAGCCAATGCAGCCTGCTGAGGAGCATTAAGAGGGTCTTGCGGCTATTGATTGTTTCTGACAGACAGGTGAAAGGGAGCGAAGGGGAAAGAAGAGGAGGGAGTTTGGGGTGAATTAGGAGCTGTGAGATGGAGTTGCATCCTTGGGGATGAAGGAGGGGAGATGGACAGGAGGGGGAAGTTGGAGTGAATGATGTGTCTGCACATCTTATTTTCAGTTTTTTCACAATCTTCCCTTTGCTTTTGTTTCAGATTTCTAACAATATACTCGTCTCCACCATCCTGCTTGCCTGCATTTCCACCCAAGGTCATAAGAAAGGAATAATTCAGCTTCGGAGAGCAAATGTGAATCGCAACGAGAAGCACGGAAATCAGTATTGGAAGTAAAGGGGATGAGAGATAGAAGACAAAGAATGAACACGAGCGAAAAGCTGGAGAGAAGGAGCAAAGTTGAGCACTGCCACGAGGAAACAATATGATTTTTAGCCAAGTGGATTCTTGGATCTCTCTTTGAATTTTGGAATACAGTGACCGGAATCAAACAAGTACATTAGGATTTTCCAGGTTTTTCTCTGTCTATAAGAGCCTAAGCGGATATTGTGGGATTGAGATTTCTTCAACTCGCTGGTTGCCTGATGTTGACCTACATCGGCCGTTTTTCTTTTTGACATGTGGAGGAGAGAGTGGGAAAGGTTTCATCAGTAAAAACAACCCACCCAGCCCTGGGCTGGCCTCGTATCAGCACAAACACCCGAGGCGAGATCTGTGCTCTATACTGACACGCATCCCATCAACACACACAAACACACAAACCTAAACCTGGATAACATGTGGAGCTGATTCGGATTATAGAGGCGCACAGACGGAAAAGGTAACGTCCACAGAGTTTCAAACTCATACACACTGCCTGGCAAAAGATATTTAAATCCCACAAACTGTGGCATATTATAATTCTTTGAAATAAACTACTATGACAAAAACTAACATGCACTTGTAATAAATTCCATTTACTTGGATGCCCCTAAATGAAACCTATAAAAAAATCTGATGTCCCTCAACCTGGAACTGGAGTTCTATCGTGTAATTTAATCTCAGGACACAAACAGCTGCTTTGTGAAGGCCACAAAGGTTGGTTAGAGAACATTTGAATCCTGCAGACCAAGGAAAACAGCAGGTTTTGTAGCAGATCCAATACAAGGGTTAGGTTCAAAAGCCTCTTTCCAATTAAAAGAAAAAAAAAGGTCAGAAAAGTGGTACAAGCCTCACATGGCTGATAACCTGAATAGACAAGCCTTGTAGAAAGAACACTGATCAGAAATCAGCCAAGAGCTCAGGTAAGAGAATCTAACGACTAAGTCTACTTTCGCACTCCAGGCCCTGATGTTCAATACGATTTTTTTGTGAAATCCGATTTTTTTGCGTCGCCAAATATTTGCGACTTGTATGTAATTCTCCTGTGTGAACTGCATTCATACAACCCAAGTTCTGGCATGCGCAGTAGAGGACGCAATGATGTCACAAGCAGGCGTGTTCCATGTTTACGGAAGTACACATGGAGGGTAGTGCTGGAGAGCATCTGGCGATCCTTCACAAACCTTAAAAACTTCATCTTTCCAAGATGGTTAAACATAAATACTACTCTCTGTAGCAAGAAGCAGAAGAGTGACCACTGTTGGGTATTGATGACATTCAGGTTGGATGGATACGACCTGACTGCTCAGACACAGGTCACATTTGAAAAGATCAGATTTGTATCAGATTCAGGACCACATAGCCAAGCACCCTGGGGGGCATTGGAAAAAAAAAAAAAAATCGGAGTGTCCTGAAAACTATCCTGAAAAGAACAGATCCAGGTCGCATATGGGCAAAGAAGTCAGATTTGGGTCGCTTCAGGCTGCGGTGTTAACGTAGCCCAAGTTATGTACGCTACAAATCGAACTGTATGTTAAAACAGCAGGTTGTCACAATGCATTTATGGGATACAGAGAAAAAAAAAATTGGAAGAAGGTGCTCTGGTAAAATGGGACTAAAATTGACCATGTTGGAAAACCGTGCCCATTGCAATGTTCATAAGACATCGTAGTGATATATATGTCCAAATCAAGGAACCTCAAGCAACACTTTAAAATTAAGGTGCTAAGTTTAAGGGTTGTTTGCCATTTTGGGAAAAAAATGCCTCTAGAGCAGCTTTCCTTCAAAGATGCTACTTTAAGGTCCAGCTTATGAAATACTAACAAACAAGGTGGGGTTTGTGGTCATTGCCTGTCAAGATGAGTAAACGTTTGAGGCGTGTGGGCACTTCTGTAAGGCCCTGCAGAAAGATTAAACATATATTGGTCCAGCAAAGTCAAATCTATATCTGCATGGTAGCCTGTGTGTGCTGAATCATTGAGTACATCACTGGGGTGGGCATAAACGCTCAGTGGCAGGGGAACTCACTGCTCTGTCTCACACAGAAACACTCGGACTGTGAATAATGAACAGATGTGCGTTTGTAGCACAAGCATAGAAGGCAAACTGAGTGCACACAGACTGAAAGACGCAGTTTTAGATCTCGCATATGGCACAGATGACTGTAAGCTTTCATCACTCTGCTGCAGCTCTGACATCCCTCCTTTCTTACCCCACACCGCACTGACACTCCTCTGTGTCAGCCAGCTGTCCTGCATTAGACTACTCCATAGGTGCGTCTTAGTTTGGCTTTTATCACCCGGGCCTTCATGTAATCTCACCTGCTGCATCTCATGTATGAAGGTAGCATGAATAGATGTGGGGAAGAGGAGCGTTTGTTGTGCTCTAACCTCTTCATTTGAGGCTCTTTACATAAGCCGTGTCTGCACACAAACACGAGCAGATTTGGCACACTGACACATGAGATCAGGCTGACTGGATCGGGAGGATAAGAGGGCGAGGAGAAAGAAACAGATAGGGAGGCAGAGGGAGGGCTGACATGGGAGTGAGGGCTAAGACGGGGTAGATGAAAGGATGGCAGGGGAGGAGTGAGAATCAGTGAATGGAGCTTCATCACATGAGATGAAATATAACTGAGAAAACAGGGGAAAAGGAAGATTAGGATGAGTAGATGAGATGAAAAGCTAACAGAAAGATGAAAAAATAACAGTGCATAGAAAGAAAAACAAACAGTGCTCCACTGTAAAAAAAAAAAAAAAAGAAAAAAGAAAAAGAACAAAAGGTTGTTATGAAAGCTTTCTGCAGTAAAAACATTAACATTTACAGATAGAGCTGTAGTTTTTTTCCCCACCACTCTACAGGACATTACAATCTTTTATAAAAAAAAAATAAAATAAAATAAAAAACCCACCATTTAGCCACAAAGGAAAGCATTACTGGGGTTCATAGTATAATACAAGTGCCAATCAAGGAGTACAACTTTCAGGGAAAGTCTGAGTTTTATCTGAAGGCAACTATCAACCCTCTTCATATGTGATAAAAAGTATTAAGCTGTGCTAAACATTAGACTATAAAATAGACTGAATCAACACAAAGGTTCTTTGATCGCTTTGCTTCATGAGTGGGTTTTAGCAGAGTAAGATGAATGCCAATTGGCTGGAAGTAGGCAAATGGATGGATGAGTTGATTGACAGATGGATAAGGGACAGCAGATGGATGAATGGACTAATAAACAGATTAATGGGTGGAAAATGAGTTGCTGCAACTAGAGAATATGATTTTGATTTAAGCTTTTTTTCCCCCCATGCTTAAACCCAATAAATACAGACAGTACATTTTCAGGCCACCAACGATCCCTGAGCCATCTAAACAATCATTGACTCTTGCTTCAAACCTGAGCCTTTCAGACTAAGTGCTAACTGAACCTTTTGAAGCGTGACAGAGACCCTTTGATTTCCTTTTATCCAAATCATAATCTTATAAATGCTCTGTACTCTTCTGCTAATGAGTGCAGCAAGCAAGCAGAGGAGCTAAGGACCCCTGGTTCAACCAGCAGAATAAAAGCTCCATAAAAGAACCATTCCCTCAATTATGTTGTAGATGCTCCGTTTGGCTCATTGTTACCAGGGGTGTCTGCCATTCGTGGGCTACAGTTAGGAGAGAGGAGCAGATGGGATAAACACTGTTCAAAAAGGGAGACTTGCCAGCATGAACAGACTGGAAAGTGAATGAGAGGATGGGGGAATGAGTAGAACGTATGGGGATAGAAAGGACTGAGCATAAAACTTCATCTTCTGGAAAGAAAGGCTAAAACAACATGATCCACAATTTCTCTCTAGCCTGTAAAGTAAAAAGTTTGGTTCACTGTTATAAGAGAAAGTAAAAATCTTCCGATTCATAAACCCCCATGTGAAAACCCTTACAATTCCACTGCACAATGCTTCACAGCGCATTAGGGAGCATAATTATTGTTAATTTATGAGTAAAAAGCGAAAAAGAGAGGAGGGACAGTCTGATTAAGCGATCAAAAAGTGTGGCGGAGCACGATGGCGGCAGACATTCATGGATAATTACATAAAACAGACGAGGGCAGAGGGGTGATTAGATGTCGAGGATGATGGACGAGGGATTTGGAACGTCAGACACCTTGGTGAGTTAAGCAGCTTTCAATCAAGGAGCAAAATGGGGGATATTTGAAGCCATGAAATGGAGATGCCTGAGTGAAGGACAAATGGTAGGATGAGAAAGGCTGGATTCTTGATTACAGCATTTAGCAATGATGGGACAGGTGAAAAGGATGGTAAAGGGATAAGGAAGGCCATAAAAACACTTAAGATTGTGGAGAGAATGCAAGAAAGGTTTGAGGAGACTTATGAGGGAAGAAAAGACTAAAGAGACACTTAAGTGAAGAAATGAAGAGCTGCAAAAACAGTTTAACAATCAGTAGAAAGGAGATATTCTGCAATAACGCAAAGTTAAAAGAGGAAGCAGAGTAGAAAAAAATTAGATCAATGGTAAAAGATAAGTTAGACCCAGTCATCCTGCAGGAAAGAGTAAAGGGACTGGCAGAATATGAAGGACGAGTCCAAAGATGAAAGGAAATGGAGTAGTTGAAGGAAAAACCAGTAAACTGCAGGAAGCAACTAGCTTGGTGGTAGAGAAGGGGGGAAAATGATGAAAGGAGGAGTAATTAAACTTTTGACAGACTGTTTAAGCACAGCGGGTGCTTGATGAGCAGAACAAACCGTAACCACGCAACCGCTGGAGACAGACGGCGGGTTGGTTTTAGGGTGGAAGGAGATATATGGGAGTGAGGGGGCATGGGAGGAGAGCCAAGTGTGAAAGTGAGAGCAAAGCCACAGGGGGGATGTCAAAGGAAGGAAAAGTCACAGGAGCAGAGAAGAGGATGAGATATTGCTTGGCATTTCTGGAGAGGTCCTTTACTAGACTGACTATATCTTCCTGCCTTCAACATGGACCCAATAAACCTATATTTCTTTATTAAACAAATATGGTTTCTGAATCTTCGACAGTTTTCTGGAGGAGGACCAGGGTTTTAAACCAAGAATCAGATTTAACCTCTAAGGACTAAAATTTGAAAGAACCTTCCTTGTTAGTTTGATTAAGCCTCTTTAGAGACTTGACTCAGTCTTGACTAAAACATGCTTTAGGACTGACCCTCCATAAACTCCTGATATGACTCAAATTTCTCCTTTAAAGAGGAACCTGAACACAACTCCTTTTAAATAAAACTGATCCAAGGGAACAATAAAGTCTTAAAACCGCCTATATGCAATTAGAAACTCAATAGACTATAACACTTGATTCAAACTTACACTTATAAAGACAAATTATGAATCACAGCCTTTATTTTCATGTAGGTTCATTAAAATATCCTCCCTAAAAAGCTGAGAAGAGACATGACACAGCTGGACTTTTAAAGAGGCAAACTTTAAGCAG